CTAAGTGAAATAAGCTAGTCAGAGAAAGATAAATTTCACATGATCTTATTTGTATGTGAGCTATAGTGATCAGCATAATTTGATGAACAAGAATAGATCCAGAGACAAATGGCAGGGGAGGTGGCTTTAGAGATCAACCAAAGGACTTGTATGCTTGCATATTAGCATAACCAATGGACACTGACACTGAGGTGGTGGGGGCTTGCCCAGGTCGGAATGGCTTTAGGGGAGGGGGTGGTGAAGCAGGGAAAAAGGAGATATATGTAAAACTTTAGAGAAGAAATACATTTTAAAAAATGAAATAGAAAAATGCTAAAAAAATATTAATAGAAAGGGGAGCTCTAAATTTTTTAATTTCCTGGAAATAATAATTTTGGTTTTAATCATCTCCATCAATGTCATTTAAAAATTACCATAGTAGATTCTTAGGATCAAAAAGAATATGTGCAGAAAAAACCTATGCAGAATCAAAAACAGATAAACTCATGTAATCCTATAACCTGGACAGAATATATTTTAAACATTCTTTATATTGCTAATTTTTTATTCCTTAGGCAAATAGTTTGAGAGCTGTTAAATTTTCCTTTCATAAGATGCTAAATAATGTCATCTGTTATTCCCAGTTTTTAAACTGAATACTTAGTGCATTGGCTACATATGCCATTACTATTTTAAAAAGGAAGTGATAAAAATAAAACCCCTTGATTGTGTTCTTGATGTTAGGAGAAAACTATTTTGACTTTCCGTATTAAGTATAGTGGAAACTGTAGATTTTTCACACATGACCTTTATCAGTAAAGAAAATTTTTTTCAAGTGCTAGTTTTCTGAGATTTTACATCATGAATAAATTTTGAAGTTTGTCTAAAACAAAACAAAACAAAAACAACTGTGGTACATCTACACAATGGAATGCTATGCTGCTTTAAAAAAGAAAGAACTTCACCATTTACAACAGCATGGATGGACCTGGAGAACATTATGCTAAGCGAAATAAGGCAGTTAGAGAAAAATAAATATCACATGATCTCACTCATACGTGGAATATAATGATCAATATAAACTGATGAACAAAAATAGATTCAGAGACAAGGGAGTGGGGAGGGGGGTGTTAGAGATCTACCAAAGGACCTGTATGCATGCATATTAGCATAACCAATGGACACAAACACTGGGGCCGTGGAGGCTTGCCCTCTGAGTTGATTATGGCCAGGGGCGGCTCAATTGGGGAAATAGGTCGATATGGAATACTTTAAACAATAACAAAACAAAAAAAGAAAAAAAACAGAAACCAAATGAAATAGTGTTAATGAATTTAAAACAGTTATAATGGGTATATCTCTCTCTATAAAACCTTAATATGCAAATAGACTGAATGGCAAAACAATTGAACAACCAATCAACCAGTTGCTATTATGTGCGCTGACCTTGAGGGAGTGTGCATGGAACATGGCAGGCATTGGTAGCAGGCAGCAGAATGTGGAACATGGAGGGTGACGGCTGCAATGGGATGTTGGAGCAAGTGATGGGGGGTGCCAGACCAAGGTGAGGTGCTGGTTGCTGTCATCAAGGTGACCTTCAAGTAGTTACTGAACATTCTTTGCTACAGTGTACTGCAGTCCTACATGGCACTCACACCTGCTGCCAGTGCCCGAGCCGCCACTTGCCCACCACAGCCTCGGGATCCACAGTTCCGTTCAAGGTGCACCGGGCCCCTAGTCCTATATAATAAAACCCTAATATGCAAATCGACCAAATGGCAGAATGACTGGTCACTATGATACACATTGACCACTAGGGAATAGACGCTCAATGTAGAAGCTGTCCCCTGGTGGTCAGTGCACTTCCACAGGGGGCATGCCGCTCAGCCAGAAGCTGGTCTCATGGCTGAAGAGCACATCGATGGTGTTGGGAGCCTCTCTAGACCTCGAGACAGCACTAAGGAACTCCTGAGGGGTCCCGGATGCAAGAGGGCACAGTCCAGGCTGTGTCTGCTCCCCCCCCCCCCCCCCCAGTGCACAAATGCCATTCACCCAGCCTCTAGTTAAGATATAAATAGGCAAGGTAAAAGGGAGAAAAATAAAAATAAAATAAAATGATAAAAAAATAATAATGAGATACAAAAAGAATAGAATCAAAGAAAAGAGAAAATAGAGATATGTAAGAAAAAAGAGAATACAGAAAAAAGGGGGTGATACAAAGAAACAACAAAAAAACAAAAATAGCCACTCACATACTCACACATTCACACACAAAAACCACACACACTCATACAGTGAACAACCTTTGGATCCATTATCTGTGGAGTTTGCTGGATTTTGCTGTGATGTTGTTGAGTCTGGTCCCTTGGTATGTCTATCCTAGGCCTCCTGAAAGTTTATCCGGTGCAGGCCAGTGTGAATCATTGTCCCTTTCTGGCCCTGGGCAACCTGATTGAGGTCGGTAGGTTGAAGCCCTTACTAGCCAGTGGGCCCCTTAGCACAGAGGCTGGGTTTGCCTCGAGTCTAATGCCTTTTTTGTCTCTGTTCTGAGCTATTCTCCCTTCCGTTATGAAGCTGGGTTCTTTGAAGGTATGCTGGTCTTACCCATGTTGGATTGATCAGATTCATGTTGGGGGTGGTGCCAGTAGGAGGGTTACCAGGCCCTTCCTCTCCTTCTAATGCCTCAGCTCTGTCTATTTTGCTGGCACCTCCTCTCTGTCACCTGCAGATGCACACATTTCCTGCCCCTGCGTGTTGCTCCTTGCCTCAGGCCACTGCAGTTTGGATCAGAAGCAGTTGGTGGGAAAGAGGACACTTCCCTTGCATTTTATGTGGGAAGGCCCGATCCTCCTTCCAGGTCCCACTATCCAGTCACCTTTCTGCTCACCAGCATGAGTTCCTCCCATAAATAAAAGATCTCCCTGAATCAATGCTGGGTGTGTCCTTTAGACCCCTCCAGTATACCTTGGCTCTAAGCTCCACCGTATGGCATTTCCCACCAGTCAGGAAGAGCTCCCCAGGCTGCACTTTGGCAGGTGCTAGTGCCACTCTATTCAGACTTCAGCCCCATTCTTCCACTGCTGCACCCACCCCACAGTCTCCACAGCCAGAGCCCTCTGGACCACCTCTCTCAGTCCCAGGCCCTCTAATTTTACTCACAGATCTGCAATCTCTTCAGTTTCCTCAGGTCCTCAGTTCTAGTAGGTCCAAGGCAGGGGAGACAACATCCACCTCCCTGGCCTTCAGTGTAGCTCCTTTCCCCTAGCCCTGGTGGTGGTGCGGAGCAGCTGTGCTCTAGGGTGGTGGTGGCAGCACTGTGGCAATGGGTGAGTGCACAGCAGGGATAACAGTCCTGTAGAGTCAGTGGCAGTCACCTGGTGGTCACACAGGGTCCAGGCTGGGCCCATTTCAGACGAACAGGGTCAGTCTGGGTGTGTGCCAGGTGTGCAGAGATCCTGCTGTGTCTGTTGCAGGTGCTCAACCCAGGTGGTGTATGCAGCAGGCACACGGGGTCCGGGTTGTATCCTAGGTGGACACTCAGGATCAAGGGTCAGTGTGTGTGGTTTGGTCCCAGGCTTCAGGGAGTCTGGGTGGTGGCAAGGCTAGGCCCCTAGCTGCTGCTACTCCCCACAGCCTCCTCTCAAAGAGGACCTCATAAATTTTTCAAGTTGGCCTGGTTTCTAAGCTGGAGCTATGGCCGGGAGTGGCTACTGAGGTAGCAGTGGTTCCTTGGCAGAGAGCCTGAATCTCCCACCTCCAAGACAACTATATGCACCATCAGACTATTACAAACACACACATGCGCACACACACATTCTCTCTCTCTCTCTCTCTCTCTCTCTCTCTCTCACACACACACATGCATGTCTGCACACTCATAGTTTACACTGCTACACTCACTCCATAGTCCCGCACTTACTCATACTCTCACCTTCACTCCAGTCCTGCCATCCCCCATGTTGGAATCCCTTGGTTTTGTCTTTAATCCAGATAAATGAAGGAATAGCTCAAAATCATTATAAAAGAATCTGACAAGGATTTAGTATTAGTTTTAAACAATCCATGTGCTTCTGTGGATATTCCCATACTATGACAGTTGTATTCTCTTTGCTTTCAAAACAAGATAGGATTAAAAGGCCCATATTTTGTTATCTATCCTACCATCAGTAAGGCTATTACTGCCTGGTACCTTTTATTTTTGGAAATATTGCTACTCAATCACTTAATAAGAGAGAAAATATGAAATTAATTTCTAGATCATTTTATAATGAAATTTGGCTATAAACATCGAGTTAAATGGCCAAGTAGAGAGGATGTAGGCCTCAAATCATGAGGCCTCACAGTGGAGAACTAATGGCCCACCAAATCAGCTTTCTATACTTTTGGTAGTTGGGATAGAGAAAATAGCAGATCTTAAATGCAAATTAACTTTGTTAGATCTGATCGAATAATTGAATCAATGTCCTTTCCCCTGGGAACTGACCTGTAGGCCACTTCACAGTGAACATTCCACTTGCTTAGACCACATTCTACTTGCTAAGACCATTAGCTCTACCCTCCAGATTTTTTCAGAGTCCAGTCCTGCACAGAGAATTCTCTGCCCAGAAAAAGCCTGCCTAGAGTCCTTTAAAACCCTCTGACTCCCCATCTTTGGGAGCTGGCACTATTTGGGGGTTCAGGTCAATAATTTCATAATTCTTTACCCCCTTTGGCCTCACGCGTTCCTCCTTTGGTGACCTTAACAAAATTTTATTACAGTGTTTTAAACAACACTGAACTAATCATGCAAACTATAATAGATTACTTCGAGGAGCTACAAGAATTCAACTGGAGATAAAAGAATTTAGAACATGAGAAATTGATTTTTTTTTTTAATAAAAAGGAAATGGAACCTGTGGTGGTCTGGTATTTTTGCCAGTTTCTGAAATTCCTATTTTCAGAGACAAACTCTGACAAGTGAAAGGAGAATTAGGGAAATATTCTCAAATAGATAAGGCTTAAAAGATGATCTTCAAAGGTACCTGGTAATCCTTGAGGTCCTGGTAGTCCTGATAGACCTTTAAATCCAGGCTGGCCTGGGATCCCTGGTGGACCAGCATCTCCTTTGATTATAATGCTCTGTCCTGAAGGACCAGGTAATCCAGGGGGACCTAAAAGTCAAAACACACAACTTTAAAGGTAGGGAAAGAAAGGTCAGATGGAATAGATGCCAATGTGTCCTAAGGTCAGAATAATAACTGGTGTGAAAAAAGCAATTTACATGTATGGCAATGTTGCCATATTAAACAGATATATTTGGGAAAACTATCACTGTATACCAAGAAGATGGACAAAAACCATAATTTTATTAGGGTCAATGGAAAAATTAGGCATATTGTCTCTATTTTCAAGCTTTGAAGTGAGACTCAATTACTAAAAAGTCTAATTCATTTAAAATCTGGGAACATTGGTGTTAGGGGAACACAATTCTCTTTACTGACAAGTCCATTTTAATTCTAATATCATTTGCAGTTCCTTTTTGTTGTAATTCCAAGAGACCCACTGAACCAATAGAAAAATTTAGAGATGCCTTATTTCACAGTTTATAGGCGTCCTCTATAATTCTCAGCAAAAAACAAACCAAAACAAAACAAAACCCACATATCCAATTTCAATATTAAAACATACCTATGTGATTTGCTTTGTGATCTGTTCAATTGAATATGAGAAATTTTGTGTAATAGGTAATAAAAAACCTAAGTGAAGCATTTTTACTGTTCCTGCCTAAATCTTAAACATAAAAAGGTCTACTCTCAATATTGTATTAATAAAATAGAGAGCTTGAGAGAATACTAAATAGAGGGAGATCCTATCTATTTCCTCTCAGTTGTTGGGGTCTGAGACTCTGAAAGTTTGTTTGGTAGAAGAAATGCAAACTTTCAGATTCTTCAATGCATTTAAGTCCTGGTAGCCAAAACCAGTTTGGCTCAATGGATAGAGCATCTGAAAGGTCCCAGGTTCGATTCCGGTCAAGGGCATGTACCTTGTTTGCGGGCACATCCCCAGTAGGGGGTGTGCAAGAGGCAGCTGATCGATGATTCTCTCTCATCGATGTTTCTAACTCTCTATCCTTCTCCCTTTCTCTCTGTAAAAAATCAATAAAATATATTTTTTAAAAAGTTAAGTCCTGGTATAACTAGCTATGAGAATATGTCTTGCCAAAACCGTTTTGGCTCAGTGGATAGAGCATTGGTCTGTGGACTGAAAGGTTCCAGGTTCGATTCTGGTCAAGGGCATATACATTGATTGTGGGCATATACATTAGTGTGCAGGAGTCAGATGGTCGATGTTTCTCTCTCATCAATGTTTCTAGCTCTCTATCCTTATCCCTTCCTCTCTGTAAAAAACACACACACAAAAAAAACCAATTATATATATATAAAGCATATGTCTTACCTGGGGGGCCAATAAGTCCTGGATCCCCCTCAGGGCCAGCTGAACCAGGTACTCCATTGGGTCCTTTCATGCCTGCAAGGAAGGTACACACAATTGCACAACAAAGCACCAGGGCCACAGTCTTTACCCAACCAAGTCATAAAGTGGGTATCTTGTCCTATACATGTTTAATGTAAAAGGGGAACCTTAAAACATCTCTTCAAGTACCTGGAAATCCTGGAACACCAGGGAGACCAGGATCTCCTTTCATTCCATTGAGACCTGGCCGGCCAGGATTACCCTGAATAAATAGAATAATTAATTTTAGAGAAACAATGGGGAGCTAGTGAGGATATAGGTGGTATTGCAGAATTATTTATAGCACTAGATATAGAGTCAAACTTCCAAAATACAAATCCCAATTTTGCCTCTTATTTGCTGTGTGACCTTTAGTGGGCTATTTAACATTTTTTATTCATAGTTTTCTCACTTATAAAGAAAATAATATGTACTTTATGAGGTTTCTGTAAGGACCAAATGTGATAGTTACTACTAAGTATTTTGTGCAAAAATGATGACATTTGAAAGACTTAGCAAAAAATATAGTAGGGCCTATTAATTAATTGGGTTTGAGGGACAAGAAAACTGGGGAGGAGAAGAATTGAAATAACACTAGAGTGAACCTAAAGGAAAAATAAGTAATAGATAATAAAGCCATTATTAGTAGAAATAAAAGAGGCAAGCCTGGAACATTGTAGTATACTAAAATGTAAGAAAATGGTTAAAAAAAAGGAGGGGCATGTATGTCAGAAAGACACAGGATCCAGCTTGCAGGGGTTCCCAAACCTAAGAGAATTTGAGCATCATAATAAAAAATGCTAGTTTAAAAGTTGTAAATAATTAAAAAAATAATTTATGAGCCCATACTGATAATAAATACACAAAATTGAAGAAATCAAAGTCTTTCTTATAGTAGTGCTGACTACTATATATATATATATATATATATATATATATATATATATATATATAGTGCTAAGGATTGGGATATCATAATTTGTCAATGTCACACCATTGACTGGTTAAAGCAAAAAGCATAAATAGATATAAAATCTAAGGGGAGATTTGAAGAGGAGCAGTGTACTTGCATGATCTTAATGTGTGCCTTCTTGTCATTTTGCTTACTAGTCATAATGGAGAAAATTGTAACAATATATTGGAGAAACCAGATAACAACTTGATGAGGTGATTAAAATTAAGATCAACAATGAGGATCAAATGAACATCTTTAGCCTCCATATCTGAGAAGTACACAAAATAAGTCATGTAGTATTCCAGCTGGGGATGCAAAACCTGAATAAACAGCAAACAAAAGAAGGAAAATCCTACTTTTTAAAAAATGCGAAGGGGCTATATTTCTCCAAAAATGTCAACATGAGGAAAAAATTAGGTTTAGAAATTATTTGAGATTAAAATATATGAGAGTTAAATGTAATGCATTGTTTTGTCTGGATTCTATATTAGAGGGTAAAATACTATAAAGGGCATTACTTCATCACTTGACACATGGAATATGTAATGTACAATAGAAATATGAGTATTGTGTGGATATTTAATTTCCTAAAGTTGATAACTATATTGAGGTTATAGTAAAATTCTTTAATCTTAAAAATGTTATGCAGTGAAGTACTTAGTGGTAAAGGGTCATGATAGATACAACTTATTCTCAACATATAACATACATAGAGAAAGCAAATGGGGAAAAACATTAACAGTTGGTTCATGGGAGGTTTTTCACCATTCTTGCATTCTATAAGTTTAACATTATTTCCAAATAAAAAATTAGGGATATAAGAACTAATTTTCACAGAAGAAAATGAATAAAACTTGACAATCCTAGATTTATAAAATATTGGTATCAGGCAGTATTGAATCTAACATAATGACATGTAAACTGGAAGTACATGGTAAATGAATGAGGTAAGAAGTGAATAGAGAGTGAACTAAGAATGAATAAAGGGATAACTAAAATTTTAAGTCTAGGTGTAGAGGAAAATAATGATGCCATCAGAAAAATAGCTTAGTTGTTGGAAAGCTTTAAAAGTTGCTTCTTCAGATCCCCCTGTTATATAAAGAAGCCCCATAATTAAAAGACAGAGCCCAGACTGCATTGGCTGCCAAATCTGACAACAATACTCCTAAATGAATTGAAGCTTTGAGGATCCATAAAAAAGCAAGTGACTCTTTGGATCATTCAAACCAAGGTGGAAAATGAATGAGTACAGATGTGGAAATACGCTATTACTCTCTTTTTGTAGGTGATGAGAGAAACCCAAAGTATGTATCTACCTTTCCAATAGACACAAAGCAGAAGTATGCAGTGGAGCAAAAATTTGACCCTAAAACCATCTAATTTCAAAGTCTAAAATATCCCAACTCACCATAATTACTTCCCTCTGAGTGCAATCCTCTACATGCAATGCTCCAATATATATGTCTCCTTCTATAAATTTGCTTTCACTGAAATTAAGGTTACTTAAATCTAAGTACTATACATACTAAAAACTCTAGGTAAAGAATATTTTGAAGAACCATTTATTAGGTGGCAAAATCCCTTTAGTTGGAAGAAGATAGAAAGCATGTATTTTTCTTTGTTTGCAATTCACCATTGAACTATGTGTACACACTTGGCCAGTAAATTATAATTAAAACAATGCAACTTAGAATTATCACTGCAACCACTTACATCCCTTTCTCATCAAATATCTACTCTTACTTCATACCTGGAGTCCTGGTGGTCCTTGATCTCCTTTCAAACCAGGCAAACCAGGTTGCCCAGGTTGACCTGGGTTTCCTCTCTCTCCTTTAATACCCCCATTTCCAGGGAGACCCCGGGGACCTTCTGGACCTGGTAGACCTTGATAATGCACAACAAAGATCACATGTCAGCATAGCATAAAAAATTAGGCTTTTTAAATATCAGCCATCTAAATCCTATTAGTTTGCAGAATAAAACTCAGACTATATTAAAATATGTAGGCTTATACTGACTCTAAAGTAAATTGGGCTGGGCTATTTGTCTTATTAACACTGCAGACAGTTTTAATTTTAATTTTATTATATATTAAACACAGTATGCTCATATCTAAAGAAAGAACTCAGAACATTATAATAAAATTACTTCTGTAATTCTTGTTTGATTTAAGTAAAAGGAAACAGACACCACATGGGGGCACTGTTCTCAAATTGAAACATGCATCAGAATCTCTAGGAAGGATTGTTAAAACAGATTCCTGGGAACACCCCAAAAGTTTTGGATTCTGTAAGGCTGGAGAGGAGCCCAAGAATTTGAGAATTTGCATTCTAGCAAGTTCCCTGTACAAAAACAAGTGTGTTGTTGGTTCTTCTGAACCACTTTTTCAGAATCACTGCCATAGGGCAAATAGAGATTCAAGTTACCTGTTTCAATGTGGTTAAAATCAAATTGCTTTACTCATAGGCAATTACTTTTATTCAACTTTTATTACTATGCAATTAAGATAGTTATTTAAGCATACTATTCAATTTCATTTTAGTGACAAGCTTAATACATGGGAATATTTTAAAGTGTCAGAAATTAATTGTCAATATAGTACCTTTCAATTTAACAATGTTTTCATATTTTTTACATTTTAAATGTTTTTAAAGAAAAATAAAGAATGCTGTATATATCTTATGAATAAAAATTAATTAAAAATGAAATTTTGCTAAACTTCTTTATGTTTTAACTTTTCTTTCTAAATAAAGCAACAAAGGAGATGTTATCAATAGACACATTTTTCATCACAGAATGGGAAATAGCTGTTATTTGCTTGCAGAGTGCTAAGCAGTGGCTGAGACTGAGATTAAGTAGTAAGATATGTAGGAAATATCATGTACATGCTTACATTTGGACAAAGCGTTATCTTTCTTACTGAGGTAAAATTGGTATACAATATTATGTTTCAGGTGTACAACATTGTAATTCAACATATGTATGCAATACTAAGTGATAAACAACATAAATCTAGTTGCCATCTTTTAAAAAGGGTTATTTTTTTATTGGAAATAAAATTTGGACCTTACTTCCCTTTCCTATACTCTTAAGACCCAGAATCAATGGCTACACTCTCACAAAGCAGCATGGCATCTAGATTTAAAATGCTGGACTTTGAAGCTAACTGCTGGGTTTGAATCCCAGCTCCATTAATCATTATCTGTTGACCTTAGTGAGTTTATTAATCTTCTTGGCCATAATTTTCTTTAAAATGGAAATCATTTGATATATGTGTATCACATCTTCTTTATGGATGAACCTTAAAAAAATATTATGCTAAGCGAAGTAAGTTAGTCAGAAAAATCTAAGAAGCATTGATTTCATTCATATCCTATTGAATAAAGATGGCTATGCAAATTGACTGTCGTTTCACGACAAAGATGGTGGTGCCCACAGCCAATAAGGAGGGAATATGCAAATTGACATGACAAAGATGGCGGCTGGGCCAGGATGCTTGCAATGACACTGGCATTCCACCTCACCCAGGCCACTCTGGGCCTCTGGGTAGCGAGGGAAGGTAGAAGGCAGCTCTGGGCCAGAGCAAAGGTGTAAGGCAACTCTGGGCCTGAGTGAAGGCGGAAGGCGGCTGCCAGAGTGAAGGCCTGGGGCCTAGGTACTGGCAACCAGGGTAAGGAAGGCTTATTCTTGCATAAATCTTCATGTATCAGGCCTCTAGTGTGTGATATAAAACTGAAACTCATACATACAGACAATAGTATGGTGGTTACCAGAGGGAAGGGAATGGAAGGTGTAAAGGGTAAAGGGGGCCAAATATATGGTTACAGAAGATGATTTGATTTTGGGTGGTGAGCACACAATATAATATAGAGATCATATATCATAGAAATGTACACTTGAGACCTATATATTCTTATTAATCAATGTCACCTTAATAAACTTAATTTAAAAAAGTGGAAATTCTTACTTTAAAGTAGGATCAGCATACTTTATTATGATGTTCCAAGGAGTAAATAAGATAATATGTATAAATTACTTAACACAGTGCCTGGCGCAGAGTAAGAACTATGTAAGAGTTTTAAAATTATTATTATTACTAGAGGCCCAGTGCATAAAAATTCATGCACTGGAGGGGGGGCGGTCCCTCAGCTCAGCCTGCCCCCTCTCACAGTCCGGGAGCCCTCACGGGCAGGAGGTGACCCAGAGATCAGGGGAAGGTGATTGCCCTCATCACACCTCTGCTGATGCCACTGATGGCAGCACAAGCTTTGGCTAGCCCTGGTTGCCTGAGCCTCAGACGGCCCTGGGTAGTTGGGAAGCCACCATCCAAGGCTTGCCTGCACCTTGGGCCAGCCCTGGGCAGCTGGGGGGCCAAGGGAACTGGGGGAATCTGGAGGCAGGCCTGCGGAGCAGCCGGACTTGCCTGGGGGCAGACCTGGCTATGCCGCACATCTGCCACCCCAGCAGGGTTGAGGAGACTGGGTGCCACCATCTTGTGTCTGTGGACACCGTCATCTTTTAGGACATGGCAGTAAATTAGCATATCCCCTCCTTATTGGCTATCTGCGCCTCCATTTTTGTGAGGGCATGACAGTCAATTATCATATTCACTCTTTATTACATAGGATTACTATAATTATATCTTTAAAAAATGAGCTCATTTTAAATCATTCAGCTATTTCTATGTGACTTCACACTATAATATTATCTGGTACATGAGATAGAAAAAAGGTCCACAACAATATAATAATTGCTTTATCTTTTAACATTTTAAGTCATATAGTCACCTTAGCTAGGCAATCAGACAGAGACACTCAGAAATTCCCTTCCCAATCTTAAAGAAAGGGTTGGAGTACTTTACACTTAAACAAACAAAAACAACCACTGAGTCCAAACTCCCTATATAGGACTTTCTAAGCAAAATTATTTTCATTCATAATATATAGTTTAGTCTAGAAATCAGGTATCAAATTAGTTTATCAAGAGAAAAATAAACAATTTTCAAATTAGCCTAACAACGACAAGGTAAGATTAAGATAGGGGAAAAAATGAGTCTTTTATTACCTTCTCCCCCAGTCCTAATGTCATTTCAAACTTGACAATAAACAAGTCACATTGCCTTCATCAAAATGTTAAATACCAGAACAGGTAGTATTTGAGCATAACAACAATCTTCAATGACTTCTGAATTACAGCAAACAAAAGTGAATTTTTCTTATCATACATACAAAGCATTAAAAAAAAGGAATTGACCAGTGAAGAGGCTAACCTTGAAAACCTGGGAAGGTCAGAGTTCACCAAAGCCCAAAGATCGATGTTAGCAGTATCAGACATCACACAGTACAAAATAAGATTGAGTTAGAAGTGGTTCACATTATAGCACAAGTTAAACAATAATCCTCTGTGCCAGCATTTATTATTCCCACAGAATATTCACCATACAAACAGAGTCATACTGAAGTATAGAGAGCCAGGCATTTTCAAATAGAGATTATTCAAGGAAATAAGCTGCTAGTTTTTATTAATCTCCAAAATGGAAAATTCTACGAAAACATCATGTTAACACTGCTACTGTGGCTTTCCAAAAGTTAGCACTTCAAAGCATTAGAGTTGGAAAAATAGTAACCTTTCACTGATAGATTTTCATTCCTTTCACAAAGAGATACTTTTGGATAAATGTTTATCTTAGTTTCTGCAATTTTGGTAAAAACACAAGGTACAAATTTCTTGATATATTCAGATTGCCACAAGGAGATAGAATTAAAGGCCTCACTAGACTAAAATACCAAGATCATAGACAACTAAATATATGGATGAAAAGACTAGTATGCAATGGCCATTACCAGCTATACTGTGACTTTTTTTGCAAATCATTCAATGAGGCACATTCTGATCTTTTTTCATAATTCACCAAGAGGCTTTCTTCTTTGCATTTTTACTTGTTATACGTTACTCAAAGAGAAAAAGCCAATATATATTTGTTCACTATTGAACTTGAAAATAAAGAGTCAAAATTTTTTTAAAGAAGTGAAGATCATCAGTGAAGGGATACTTTAAAATATGCTGTCATGCACTATCCCACTCAAAACTATAGAAAAATATCATATTTCCTTTACTATTATTCAATGTACATATTAAATCAAGCTATTAACTATTAAAAGAAGAATCATTATATAAAAAAAATAAAAAGACAACATATAGGGAAATTCTTGGTTAATATTAATTGACTTGAACACAATTTACTTTTCTTACAAGTCCTGCTATGATTATAGACACTGAAGTAAGCAGAGAAAATAAATGGTGCTAGAGCACTGAATCCTAGGAATTAGAAGACATGGGACTTATTCTTGGCTCTGCTACTTAAATTATGGGATTTGGAGCAATTAAATTTCTGTAAGTTGTGTTTTCATTCACATAATGGAAATAGTGAGATCTGACCTAACCTCCTTTGCAGAGTTGTTTTAAAGATTCAATTTTTTAACATACTGACCTGATATATGCCATGTGCAAAGTGCTACAGGGAACACAAGGATTAGCCAGACCCAAACTCTACCCTCTAGGCTTATAGTAAAAGTACATTATATGATATAAATGGTAGCATGTCATATAAATATAAAATGTTACCATTACTTCCTAAAAATAAAACTTTTAAAGCAATTTATAATTTGAAATTCAGAAGGCTAAAAACCAGATTTTGTTTAAATGGTTTCTACACCATACACAGCAAGACACGTTTTGAGCAGTCTGGCTAAACAATTAGAATACCTACCTAAGATAATTCATAGTTTCAGTAAAGGCATTTTATACATGTGTTCAGTATAGAAGAACCATTAATAAAAACTCTGAGAAAAATAAATCATTGAAATATATTGTATTTTGGTCTGAGTAAGTATCAAGGGAAACTTCAGATCATATCATAGCAAAACTTCTAAGATGTTAATATATAAAAGGTAACATTTTAATGAGTTGTATGCCAAATCAATTTTCTTCATGAGGTTCTCAATCCATTATTTCTCAATGATCTAACAAAGTTAAACTGAAAAATAAAGCAAAAATTAAAAAAAATGAAGTCCTGTAATAAGTAAGAAAAACTGATGGATTGGTAAATTTTAAATCTAGCCTCCATTTAAAGTTGCATTATTCAACTGTTGTAAAGAGATCATTGCAGATACCAGATTACAATAACTATGTAATTTGTAGTACATCTGGTAAATAAGTTTTAAAGTAATGAGGTTGCTTTTTGTTTTCTTTGAAATATTCTATTGCTTCACAAGAAAGCAATTTTCTTCTAGCTGATAGTAAAGCTTGGAAGTGATAAAGGCAGCAGATTTTTATGCAAGTCAGACAAGGGCAGTACTCAAAATTATTTCAAAGTATACTCTAGTCTTCTCTGTATCTTGGTGATATTTAAATAGATGCACCTGCCTTAATATTTTTGGTGACATCCATTTAGGAATAACAAACCAATTGGTAGGGGTTGATGGGGATCTTGAAGTAATAGAAAACAAGAAAGTGGAGGCAGGGCTCAGTCTGTTATGTCAAAATCTCCTAAAATGACTGAGCAGCTTTGCTCTATCACTTATGTTTATAACTAGAATAAGAGGCCAGATCATAAGCATCATATCATACAGCTATATCTGTGGAAGGATGGTATGTGTTACTAGTAGAATAGAGACTTATGTAAGCACTGGGGAGCCCTAAGTCAGATTCCCAGCTATGACCTTAAGCAAGCTTCTTAACCTCTTTGGACTTCTGTTTTCTCACATATAACAAAGACCACTTTATTCACTAAACTTCTATGAGCCCTCTTCTCAACTAGGCCTCATCCTTGGGCCCTGTCCTTGGTCTGCTGAGGCGAGTTTGTGTGTGTGTGTGTGTGTGTGTGTGTGTGTGTGTGTGTGTGTGTGTTTTAAATATTTATTGATTTCAGAGAGGAAGGGAGGAGAGAGAGAAACATCAATGATGAGAGAGAACAATTGATTGGTTGCCTCCCACATGCCCCCTACTGAGGATTGAGCCCACAACCTGGGCATGAGCTCTTGACAAGAATTGAACCAAGAACTCCTCAGGCCGCTCTATCCACTGAGCCAAAACAGCTTGGCTACTGAGGCGAGTTTTAACAGTCTCTCTCCCCTGTTGCAAGAGTTTTGAATAAAATATGTCTTTCCATCACTAACAAGTGACTGGTGAATAATATCTTTTGAAAATGTAAAAGGTAGGTCCCTTCCAGATAAGATATTATATGGTTCTATACAAATAAGAATTTTAGGGGCAGAGTACAAAACTAGAGAATCAATTCAAATTGAGATAGATGGTTTCCTAAAAAACAACTTTAACAATTATTAATTTTAAATTAATAAGAAGCCAGAATTTCCTACTATCCTCAATAGAGCTTGGGAGGACACTTTTTCTCCTTTTACTTCCTTCTTAGAAACTTTTTAAAAGGATTACTTATCATGAAAGTAATGATCACACTGAGATTTTTTTGTGTGCATTTTACTCCTGATTAGGTGAGCGTCTTTCACTATGAATCAGCAATTGTTCATTGGACAGCACTTGGTAACTATTCTTTGATGTGTAGTAAGTATATGTGTATGATGAAAATAAAATTAAGAGGCTTCTAATCTGTGCAGGTTGCATTGATTTAATTTTTACTCTGTGCCTAGTAATCCATTTTCATAACAGTAGAATTTAGAACTTTGTGACAACCCCAAAAATGAAGAAAGGATCATTTAAAAAATTAAAAGATATATGGCAAACCAAATACTGCATTATTTGCAGGATATGTGATGCATACTATTGTTTCAAAAGAATGCCTTTTAAAAGGAGAGTTCAATTTCATTTGCATTAACAGATACTGTATAAGGCAAAAGTTAGAAATACACTCTACTCTAAAATTTAAAGGTAAAATATTATAAAATATACTTTTGAGTATCAAAATTTTCAACTAAAATGAAACAATTATATGCATTTTAAAATGTTAAATTAGTTATTTAATAAAGTACGTTTAGTTTCTGCTAATAGACATAAACACTGGACACTATTATACTTTCCTGACACCTTTCAGAGATAGATAAACATATAAGAACTGAATTGGGCCAAAACTGGTTTGGCTCAGTGGATAGAGCATCGGTCTGTGGACTGAAAGGTCCCAGGTTCAATTCCAGTCAAGGTCATGTACCTTGCTTGCGGGCACATCCCCAGTAAGGGATGTGCAAGAGGCAGCTGATCGATGTTTCTCTCTCATTGATGTTTCTATCTCTCTATCCCTCTCTCTTCCTCTCTGTAAAAAATCAATAAAATATATTTTAAAAGAAAAACTGAATTGGCATATACACTCTTAAAACATATTTAGACACTTAAAACATTATCTGTGTGTATATATATATATATATATATATATATATATATATATATATTTACACACACACACATAAATATTTAAAAAGTTTCAAACTTTATGCAGTCACTACTTTAGAGTTAAGGAGCTAACCTGTAGGACCTGGATAGGGATCAAAGTTCACCAAGGCCCAAAATCGTCATTATCGAAAGGGAAAAATATCAAAATTGTTAGAAATATCAAGAAACTAAAGCATTTTACTAATTTCTTTTAAGTTAAATTTTAATTCAGTAAAAAATATTCTTAAAGTTTATTTTCGTGCATCTGTATATAAACCAAATTATCACCATTAAAATGAAAACAGCACATGTGATATATTTTGAAAGGCCAAAAAACATTTAAAAAATAATTATTACTATAAGCTCAGAAAAAAAAAAAAACGACAATAAATTCTGAGAACATTTGGGTTTAAAACTCAATTTTAGTTTATAGTTTATAACAAATTAAAAGTTACAAACACTCATCAGGTGTGCTTCATTCAGTTACTTTCACTATTTTTTAAGAAATAGTACTTTTCAAAAAAGCTTTTGTGACTAATGTCTTTATGTTGACATATTTAAAAGTAATGTTTAACAGTGAGCTCCATTACTAGTAAGAGCAATAACCACAGTGCTGATTAAAATATGAAAGAGGAAATAACTTGGTTTATTTGAATTATTACATGCATAACCAACCAAGGTGTTGTGTCAATACTTTACATTACATGCAAGAGAGTTAACATGGCTGAGGGAGTGTCACTGGTTTTCTTCAATAGAAAATCAAGGTAAAGCTTTAAATAACACCTTTTACAAACATACAAATCAGATCAGATAAAACCTGGTTTTTGAAAATGATCTTCACATAATTACAATTTTTTGTTAGGTGATGAATGTGTTAAATAACTATTGTTGTAATCATTTTGAGTTATATACATATATGAAATTATTACATTGAACAACTTAAAGTTACATGTTATATGTCAATTATATTTCAATAAATCTGGGATAAAAAACAAAATGATCCTCTGAACAAAGTACATGATCCTAATCAATTTATATTTTTAGAGCATATTTTATTTAAGGTAACTCCAATTACTTCAGAGTTTATGGTAACTTAAATGAAAATTTTCACTTTTAAATATAGTTAAAGGGAGTCAAGACTTTCAGAGGGGAAAAAAGTTTATTTTCATGCATTTGTATATAAACCAAATTATCACATAAAACAAATTTTTGTTTCTTAGATTTCTCATATATTTTAAATCAATGAAAGCCAAGTTTTTGATTACCAGAAATATAAAAATTGCATATCAAGTTTTAAATATCTGTTAATAATCGGTTACCAGTGATTGGGCTCAGCAACATTAATTCAGGATGAAAATGAGCATTTCCAAAGTTAGTAAAATGAAATGACATAGCACAGACACAAAATGAAAAGTGAAAATTTGATGCAAAACTGAGACTACTAAAGCAGTTAACAGATGAGAAATGAAGTATAGACATGAAGCTGGTATGAAGAAATTACTATTCAATTTACTCATGCTATGATGTTGAAGCAAAGTTGGATTGCCTAGTTTATAGAGAAGATAATTTTTTTTGTGCTTGGTGACATTTGCTGATCATATGACAGAACCATAGAAATACTTTGGTATGGACCACAAGCATCTACTGGGTGATAACTAAAATGATTTCTGTGATGACATGCTGAGAAGCTCACATTAAAAATGCAGATGGCATTTTGCTGGCAAGTTACCTGTATAGCTTTATTTTTAATAAAAATTTACTAACAAATCACTATTTCCTTTTTCCTCTATGTAGGTTTGTTTTAGTTACACTTTAAGAAAATTATAAAAGGCATTACTGAAAAAAATATTATATGCCATGGAAATGGATGAAGTAAAGTATAAACCAAACTATTTACTTATAAGAAGTTCTTCGATTATAGATTCTAATGTCCTAAAGACTGAATAACTTCCCAGCAAAATGAAATAAATGGACAAATAAATAGACCATTTCCCTACTACTCATGTACATACCTGGTCTCCCAGGAGGACCTTGGAGCCCAGGGTTGCCTTTAGGGCCCTGGAGAGCTGGACCTGGAGAACCAGGAGGGCCTGGGGGACCCTGCACACCGGGGAAACCAGGATAGCCTGGTTCACCCTTTGGACCTGGAAGGCCAGGGTTTCCTGGAATGCCAGGTAATCCTCCATCACCCTTTTGACCTATGAAAGTAAAATGGCATTAGAGAACACATTAAATGATATTGAATATTAGGCTTGCCTATAAGTTTAAAGCTATTTGCACTAATTAGAACAAGTAATGGAATATACTAGGGTTATTTCTATCTCTCACTAAATCCCCAACACATATAAAAAGCCCATTCATCCTATTAAATGTATTTATCTATTATCAGAAGTGTTTACTAGAGTAAGCCTAGAAATAGAAAAACAATAATAGCTTGCATCCTTACAGATACCCGTTGAATTAGGACATAAAGCAATGATCACATGAGCAGTAACTGTGAGGAAAAAATAGAAATAAATAGAAAAGTATGGAGTATCTGCAATAGGTTAAAGATGGCTGGAGGAAATTCCTAAAACAAATGTTTTAAGATTCTAGGAAAATAAAGATCTTCAATGGTGTCTATGTGCCCTCAAAGACCAATCTATCCAATATTTAAAAATCACAATCTAGACAAATTGTGCTCAACATCTTTTCTATACCATCAACATGACTGAGAGCAACTATCAGTGGCACATTAAAGTCATAACTTTTATGTTGAGATCATTGGAAGGATCTTGGAATTTCTAGGAGATAAGTCTGTGGTTTCAAAAATGTCTTCATAAAATAGGAAATTGTCATTTGAGAACATAAACGCACACACACACACACACACAGTATATGTGTGTGTACACACATTCAATCACTGTTAATTACTTGGTGCTTACAATGAGAGTAAAATCATAGGAGTAAAGGTAGATGTTTGTGCACACATACTCTTACAAAATGTATATTAACATGGAGTTTTCAAGTGACATTTTTATTATTACCATGTATTTCTACAGTTTCCTTATATTAACTTGGTTTTGTTCCCATGGAGGTAAGAGAGTGTTTAAAAGTCTTTTAAAATTTTAGTGAAATCTATCTCTTCCTACAAGTTTGCTTTCTTTCTGTATCATTTCCTCAGCATTTATTTATGAAATTAATGAAAAGATATCTACATGTAAATTTCCTTAAGAACACATTTTTCTATAGTACAACTCCTCATACTAAATTGATAATTAAGAACTGCTTTAAGATGTAACTCTAGCTTTGAGTTTTCTGGGGTTGTTGTGCATTTTATAACAATAAATTATAGAGATGGAAAAATAAGTGTACTATAGAATATTATCTATTTATGGACTAATTTAGCAAGTTTTATTAAAGTTTACCAGAAAGTCCTGGGAGTCCAGGGGGTCCTGGGATTCCAAAGCCTGGTTGGCCTGTCAGAGGATAAACCAACAACTCTCAAAGAGATAATAACAACTGAAATAAGATAGATTATCTTCTAATTATTCAGGTTTTTATTAACTGCTACAATGTATATTATATAAACCAAGTTTATTTCCAATAGATAACTACAATTCCACATCAGAAAATTATATAAAATTATATAAAAAATATATTTTATTTGTGATTAATAAATCACAAATTGTAATATATATATATATATATATATATATATATATATATATATATATATATATATATAATAATAAAAGGAAGTCATCCAAAGAACTTGTTAAAAGTTGGGTAACTTCTTGACACAAAAAATCAGGCAAGAAAAGATATGGAGTTTTTCATAAGAGAGAAACAAGTTGATGGATAAATGATGTAAGGTCACATTCTCAGGATAGAGTGGAATGTAATTAGAATGGAAAATTGTGTGGTAGCTTAGAGGGTAAGAAAGAAGATATAGTTTCATTGTAGGTAAAAAAAAAAAAAAAAGGCAAAAGTTAAGGTAAACAAAAGGGGGAAATTAGAAAATTAAAAACAATGAAAAAAGACAGTACCTGGTTCACCCTTCTGTCCAGCTGGTCCAGGAATACCATCTTGACCTTGTTTGCCTTTTTCACCTGGAGGCCCTGGTGGCCCAGGATGACCTCCACTACCTAAATAATATATTATGAAGGTTACATTTATTTTCCCAATTCCCTTTTTCTTCCATATTCCCCATTGTTCCATGCTAGCTTTAAATAATTCTATCCAAAAAATAAAAGTGCCTCTGAGACTCTCCTTTAAATTTATAAAATATTATGGAAAAGAAGCCTAAAAAATAAAGGGTAATGTGAATAAGAAATAGCTTTATCATTTATTCATTACCAAAAATGTTTCAGTTTCTCATTTTAATCTAGTTTTAGACTATCCAAAAAAATAAGGTGTGGGGTTAGGACACATTATATGCCTTATATTGGGCCAAGGAAAGTGATTTGCTCTATAATTTAGTAAACAAATAAAGTATTACTCCTTGCCATTGTAAAAAATATCAGATTTTCTATCTGTTAAAGGAAACTTGAAATAACTCTCCCTGGAAAAGGTGAGCCTGAAAAATAAGGTCCCATGACAATTTTATGTAATCCTATAAAATAAAGAGATAATATGCAAATTGACCAACACGAAAGATGGCTGCCCCCATGTAGACACAAAATGGCTACCACAAGGTGGTCAGTAGTGGAAGGCAGTTGTGGGCGATCAGGCCATCAGGGAAAGGCAGTTGGGAGGGACCAGGCATGCAGGGGGAGGGCAGTTGGGAGCAAATGGGCCTGCAGGGGAGGGAAGTTGGGGGTGATCAGGCCTGCAGGGTAGGACAGTTGGGGAGAACCCAAGCCTGCAGGGGAGGGTAGTTGGGGGCAACCAGGCCAGCAGGGGAGAATAGTTAGGGGCAATCAGGCAAGCAGGGGAGCAGTTAGGTGTTGATCAGGCTGACAGGGGAGTGCTTAGAGAGTGATCAGGCTGGCAGGCAGAAGCAGTTAGTGGCAATCAGACAGGCAGGCATGTGAGAGTTTGGGAGCCAGCAGTCCTGGATTGTGAGAGGTATGTCCCAGATTGGAGTGGGTACAGGCTGGGTTAGGGACATTCCCATCCCTGTGCATGAATTTTGTGCACCAGGCCTCTAGTTTTAAAAATATTTGTAGTTGATTTAGAGAGAAAAGAACAGAGAGGGAGAGAGAAATAGAAACACTGATAGGCTGCCTCCTGCATGCTTGGAATTAAATTGGCAACCTCTTGGTACATGGGTCGATGCTCAACCAATAAGCAACACTGGCTGGGCAATTTAATATACTTTTTATTGAGCTGTTCACTTTGTACCTAACAAATAGTGCTAAATTAATGATCACCATTTCCATGTCTGGAAAACGTTCACAGCTCCCTGAAATGATTTGAATTTCCCAAAATGAACATGAGGCTTAGTTTTACAGAATATCAGCTCCCCCTTTTTTATGCTTACCTATAGGACCAGGTTCTCCTGGAAGTCCAGGGTTCCCAGGAGGACCAGTAATACCTTTTGATCCAGGAAGGCCTGGGGTTCCTAGAGTAAAGAATTCAGTTTAATTTTTTTTTTTTTAAAGAAAAACTCATTTCTTTGAAAGCTACACTCAAATTTACAATTTATAGTGTTAGCAAGGAAACAGTGAAGAATGAAAGAAAACCCCAAAAGATGCTCATGTTTGCTGGTTGCTTTAAGAAATTTACAATTTAAATTTATTTATCCAGAAGCTTTATTGCATATTCATAATAAAAACAATTGCCACCGTATTTCACTAGTAGAACTGGCAGAAGTCCATTGTATAGATATATCAAAGAATTTAATCCATTCATCTAATGTTGAACATTTGGTCATGTTTTAGCTATTAAGGTTTTCTATTCTATTTTTGGAAACTTGGTCTACTTCCAGTTTTGGCTATTTTGAATTGTGCTGTTAAGGATATTTCTGCATTTGTATTTTTGAAGGCATATGTATTACTTATCTTAGGTAGATATCTAAATAGGAGTGTAAAAACTAAGCCAAAGAGTAGGTATGTGCTGATATCAATGTATCTATGTATCTATCTAATTCCTGCCAAACCATTTTCCATTAACAACAACATTTGCAAATTCCAGTTGCTCCAAATCCTTGTACAACATATGGTGATATCAATTGTTTTAATAATAGCCATTCTGCTAGGAATGTAAAGTTAACTCATTGTTGTTTTAATTTGCATTTATCTGATGTTTAATGATATTGATCAATTTTTCATGTGCTTAGTAACCATCCTTATAACTTCTTTTATAAAATGTCTGTTTAATGTTTTCCCCATTTAAAAATATTGAACTGTATATTGCATTAGTATTGAATTGTAGAAGCTCTTTAAATATCCCAGAAAGCCATCATTTATAAGATATATATTTTGCAACTGTTTTCTCCTACTGTGCTGGCTTCCTTACTCATTTTTATGATGTCTTTTGATGAAAATAACAAAAGAACTTAGGTTGTTGAGGGGGAAAAAACCTACAACGGTGTGTTGCAATTGGATACCGGTATGGAACTAACAAACCTGGACCCCTACTTCACCCCATAAAAATATTTTATTTGAGACAGATCATAAATCAAAATTTAAACATTAAACTTTGGGAAAAAATTGGAATAATATTTTCATAAACTTGAGTATATAAACATTTCTTGAATAGGACACAAAAAGCACTAAACATGAAAGATTGATAAATTGGACTTTATTAAATTTAACAAAAATGTTTCATCACACAACAGCATTAAGAGAATGAAAGGTAAATCTAAGACAGCAAGAATGTAATTTTTTTTTTAGCAAGAACTTATTTGTAATATATGTACCTGACACAAGAATCACATTTAAAATATGTAAAGAACTGCCTTGAATCTATAAGATAAAAGGAAAACCACCCAATAAAATATGAGGAAAAAGACTTGGAGCAGGCATCACTTCAAAATGATGCTACACAAATGAGCAATAAATCTATGCAAGAATGTTTAATATTATCATTGATTAGGAAAATGTAAATTAAAACTTCATTGAGATACTCCTATGTAACCACTAGAATATTGAAAATTAAAAAAGACTGACAATACGAAGTCAGGCAAAGCTATAGACAACTGGACATTTCACAAATAATAACCACTATATGATCATGGCAAACACCAGAAGCCATCCATGGACATTTTATACATTGCAAGTGTGGCTGTAATTTATAAAACCACTTTTGAAAACTGACACCATCTACTAAATTTAAATATCTACAGACCATATGATTTAGTAATTCTATTACTAAGTTTGTGTCTAAGAGAAATGAGGATATATGTCCACTAAAATCATGTCAAAGAATGTTAATAGCATCTTTTTAAAGAAATTTCCCTCTACTCTTCTATAATCTTTCAACTGGTCTAATAATCTGATCCAATATGAGATAGATTAAAAATAGAAAATAACCAAATTTAGTTACATACATGTGTATGGAAACCCCACATACATGAGAGGTTCAGATACTGAAAGGTAAAATGAGGCATACATGGCATTCTGAGCTAAGGAATGAGGTAAGGCAACTGAGGTTTTAGAAGGTAGGAGGGTAATTTGCAGGATGATAGTAAGAGCAGATGCTCAGTAATTACATGTTTCTCCTGACCTATAGTTAGGCCATAAAAAGTTATTTCTGGTAATAATCCTTATTATTGGCAAGGCCCCCAATTTAAATTCTTTAAGAGAGAAGTAAAAGTTTTTGTGAGCCCACAGGGTCTCACTGGTCTCCAGCTCAAAATAATCCATTCCAAGTGGCATATATTGGGGAGACTTGTTATGAATCCCTTCAACTCCCAAAATGAAAACAACACAAAAATCCATCAACAGGAGAATGGGTAATTGATTACACTATATTCTTCACTGGGATATTACAGAGCATTGTTAAGACACAAAACGAAACAAAACACAACTACTGAAGCATGCAACAAGATAAAGGAATCTTAGGGACATAATGTTGAGTGAAAGAAGCCAGACACAAGGATATATACTGTTTGATTCCATTTATATGAATTTCAAAAAGAGACAAAAATAATTAATGGTGATAGTAGTGGTTTATGGGGGTGTGGGTTCACTATGAAGAATGTGTAAACTTTATGGTATGAAGGAACAATTTCATAACTTGATATATATGGTGGATACATGGATATATACATGGGTAAAATTAATTTATATTCCTGTACATTTTACTGTAATATATATATTACTAAGCACCTGGAGTGCCACTAGCATGTTCTTGGTAACTTGGGTAATAAGAACCCAAGAAGGTGATCTAGGGTTTTTCCACCTCACTCTTAGAGGAAAAAACAAAGAGGGCTAAAAAATGTCCTAGCCGGTTTGGCTCAATGGATAGAGCCACAGCCTGCAGACCACAGGGTCCATATTTGATTCTGGTCAAGGGATGTACCTAGGTTGCAAGCTCCTCCCTGGCCAGGGCCCTGGTCAGGGCTCATGCAGGAGGCAACCAATCGAGTGTCCCTCTCACATTGATGTTTCTCTCTGTCTTTCCCTCTCTCTTCCACTCTCTCTAAAAATTAATGGAAAAAATGACTTCAGATGAAGAAGGAAGAAAGGAAGGAAGAAAGGAAGGAAGGAAGGAAGGAAGGAAGGAAGGAAGGAAGGAAGGAAGGAAGGAAGGAAGGAAGGAAGGAAAGGACGAAGGAACGAAGGAAGGGAGGGAGGTCGGTCATATCCTATGAAAGAGACATCTTGAAAATGCCTAAAGAAATTTGTAATTTTTTCAAGGTGAAGGGATTGGACTCTGTGTTGATGAAAACACCTTGGCAGCTGCAGAAGCCAGCAGTGGCAGCAACAGCAAGGTGATGGGAGTGGTGCCTTCCCTTGATCATCCTGCTTGCCTCCCATAGAGGGAGGCTAGTCTGCAACTTAGGCCTTCTCCACAGGGGAAGGGTGCATAAGCCATCAGTAGGACATCCCCTGAGGGTTCCCAGACTGTGAGAGGGAGCAGGCTGGGCTGAGAGACTCCGCCCCCACCCAGTGCATTAATTTTTGTGTAACAGGCTTCTAGTCCTATATAATAAAGGCTAATATGCAAATCAACTGAACAGTAGAATGACTGGTCACTATGATGTGCACTGACCACCAAGGGGCATACACTCAATGCAGGAGCAGCTCCCTGGTCAGTGTGCTCCCCACTGTCCAGCTAGAAGCTGAGCCCATGGCTGGTGAGCACAGCACTAAGGATGTCAGTTGGACATCCCCCAAGGGCTCCTGGACTGCAAAGGGCACATGCCAGGCTGAAGGCCCCCCCCCCCAGGTGAAAAAAAAAATTCATGCACTGGGCCTCTAGTATTTCACTGTTAACCCAAAGTAAAGGGACTATAATAATCTAGTTCATGCTATCTTCTTGTCTATAATATTAAGTCCTTTTGCTTGCATGACACAGTTCTTGTCATTTGAATGAATGGTATGATTGTTCTACCAATAGCCACTCACTGTGTACCTGAGTACATTCTAAGAGAATCAGCAGCAGACTAGGATTTGGCAATGTACATTATCACCTAAAAACATAGTAAGGCCTCTTAATTGACTTGTGGCCAACAGTCAACGATTGAAAAATGATCCATCAAATAGTCCTATGTCTACAGGATATTGTCCTGCTGAGTTGATAATTCTTATTTTATATAGAAAGAAATTTGGTCAAAGAAAATGTAAAGAGCTAGTTCAAAATTATGTTGCTAGTCAGTATCTGATTGGAAAATAGAATAAAATTCTGCCAAATAAGTTGCTTTATGATATAAGTTAGAGTAGAAAAGAAGGAAAGAAGGTAGCATTTAATAAAAATAATATTACCAGGGAATCCAGGAAGGCCTGGTTGTCCTTTTGCTCCAGGAGTTCCGGGTAATCCAGGCAAACCAGTATCTCCCATAGAACCTTTGATACCAGGATTTCCTGGGTATCCAGGCAGACCAGGTTCACCCTAAATTTGAATAAAAAGATAAAACTAAAATCTTCCAAGTAGTTAGATTATAAAATGACATAACACTATGTGTCAGGCATATTACTGAGTGATTTACATAAATCACTTAATTTAATCATTCCAACAGCCCTTTGAGTTAGACTTTATCATAACTAATGCCTTTTATAACCAATTATATATTTTTTATATAATTAAAAGCCTAATATTCGAATCAACTGAACTGCTGAACGACAGGTGCAATGATTGGTAGCTATGATGTGCACTGATCACCAGGGGTAATCAATGCAGGAGCTGCCCCTACCCCTCAGGCCCCAGGCCAGTCAAGGCAGGTGCCAGTGGGGCCCCCACAAGATCACCCTGCCAGTCTCCTCTCCTCCTGAAGCAGCAGGGGGTGGGGCCATCAAGCAGACAGCGCCAGGCTGGCCAAGGCAGATGCCAGCAGGGGCCCCTGATCGCCCTGCTGGATGCACCACAGATCTGCCCTGAATGCCAGCCAAGCCTAGGGACCTACCCACACATTAATTTCGTGAACTGGGTCTCTAGTCCATTTGTAAATAAGAAAAGTGAATCTTGGAGAAGTCAAGTGCTTAATGTTGCTAGTAAGTGGCAGAACTGGTATTTGTACCAAGGTCTGTCAGACTCCAGATGCATTATTCTCATTAATCATTAACAATAACATAAGAAATATACTGTTATTATCCCCATTTTACAGTGATTCAGCTGGTAACTGGTGGAATTTGGTTTTGGATCAAAAGAGTTTGATTTCAGAACCTGTGATCATCATCCCTAGTATGCTACAATAAAATTAATTGCTTAGAATAAGCATGTCAAACAAAACCACAGTAGATTCTACTGCAAAAGTTTTATTTCATTTTAACATAAAGAGGCCTATAAACTCTTTAGTGTACATTTCAAATCCTATTTTCTCCATGAAACCTACTAAGACAAATAGAGCTTACCCTAAGAATTTAGTTTAAGTTCTTATTTTGTCATGTCTATAATGGTTTTTCATATACATGTCTTCACTTTTCAATTACATTGAAACTTTCTTTAGGGTCAGAGACAATTTGTGTAAAACCATTTTTGTTCAATGAACATTTGCATTAGGTTTTCTCCTAATGGAGCCTTAGAAAAATTCATACCCACTTTCACAAATTAAAACAATATTTTTCCATTAACAATGAGAACATGTCATACCTTTATATTTACAACTATCACAGTGTTCACTATTCTACTCACGAGGATTGTAACCTACCCAACAAAGTATTAGTGTGCAACATTATCTGCTGAATACTTCCTTCTTAATTTAGCAATTATGCTTGTCTAGGCAAATAAGATCATTTATTTGTGATTCAATTGTTTCTGCAATATAGTAAAAGCCTTTTCAACTAATGCCTTTTACAACCAATTTAAAAATAATTAAGTCTTGGGATATAAATATATACATACATTTGTATAAACCTTTATAAATCAAATGTCAGCACAGTTTTATACACATAATAGGTATATAATTAAATTTTTTATTGGATTGGTTCCATCTTATGTATTTACACACAGAAAAGCTTTGAATAAAATATCATTATTCTTCTTGTTATTTATGAACCAATGACATTTATATGCCAAAATAAAATACAAGAATAAAATTCATATATTCTGCTAATGGTAAACCTGAAAGGTAAGATAAACTGTGGTAAAGAATGTTAAGTTACACAAATAACCCAATTTATAATTTCAACCCTCGCATGTTACCCAATACAGTTCTTATCACTATCCTATGGCCCTAATACTTCAAACCAAGTAAACTATAAACAAAAAGTAAATATTTTACCAGGGTTTCTGAAAAGGACCTTATTTGCTAGTTTAAATTTTATCTAAACTTTTATTATTCATATATGCTGTCAGAGAAAACAATGAACTTCAAAAAAAGTTAAGCACGAAGAGATTAAAAAGAGCACTCAAGAGAATCAACAAACTGGCCATGAATCCTGTAAATCCCCCTGAAAAGGGAAAATTATAGTTTATTTACATTTCTAGCAAAGGCCAGATATGACTTGAATATACTTACACCACAATTATGTACATTTGTTCTTCAGGCTTTTATAATAGACACCAGAGGCCCGGTGCAAGAAATTAATGCACAGTGGGGGAGGGGGAATTCCCCTCAGCTCTGTTTGCACCCTCTGCAATTCAGGACCCCTACACCTTTTTCTTATCTAACTAACTTCTTCACATTTAAAAAAAAATTAACTGAAATATCACCTACTCTAGGAAATCCTCTTTGACCAAATGTCGTTACAATCTGTATTAAGTATTTTCATAGAATACCATTCTTTTTCTTTAATAGCTACTTAGAGTAGATGCAATGTGGTTTTCATTCTTGCATCTGAATTTTTTTCTTCTTGCTCTTGTAATAGCAAAGCTTATCCAATTTACATTTGCCCTTCAAGGGCTTATGTTTGGTTCAGTTTATAGTTGGTTCCCTGGTATTTTGTAAGCAATAAATTTGGGTTCTGATAGTAAGCCTCACTTGTAATCAAGCCTGTAGATCTCCCTATCTGAATATTTCTATAATACCCATCACGTTAGCATACCAGAGATTGTGTTCATTTATAGAAAATAACAATAAATGTCACCTGGTCATTTGATTTTCTAGTACTATTTTATAGCAAGATGTATTATTCTAGCAATTTAACTATTGCAAAACTGAGGCATACAGAAATAAATCACATTGAACAATAAAGAATGGCTCAAATATCAAAGCATAGTACACTTAGGGCCTCCCTTGTCTTGTGCCTCAGATATTATAGCATAGTACAGAGTTCACACGGAATTCAGCTTCCTTTAAAATAGGAAGGCATGCCATACTCATGATGTAGCTACTTCCACACATTTTTTAAATTTAATTCACAGCACATACTCTTTGTACTAATTATTGGAAAATCATCCTAGCAATTGCCTCTGTTCCTCTCTATATTGTTGCCTTACATTCTGATGTTATTACTGTGCTTTTATCCTCCACTCGCTGTAATAAGATTGTGAATTTTTTAAGGACAGAGATCATGACTTAAGCTTGTGTTTCTCTGTCATGGTGCCTAGATAAATATTCAAATACCATCCAGTCCAAATGTCTGTGATGAGAGAGGCCTATTGTTGCTGGAGATCTCTGATTTTTATTTAAGGGCCTCATTTGTTCTGTGCCTTTGCAGAGAGGTGAGTAGAGGCTGGAGGAATTTGAAGAAACCAGACACAATTCTCCTTCTAAAATATTTTGCTAAGCTGGTGACCATGATTGTCAGGCATTTGTCCAATAAAAACCCAGACACACAGCAATAACAAAGGCACTGGTCTCCTACTGCTAATGCGTGGGGATCAAACCCTAGCCTGCAGGCACTCACCCTAGCAGTCAGGACCAGGCCACTGGGTAGACATGGGCTGGCGCTCCTAACTCTGGGGAGAGGGAGATTTTCAATTGCTGCAGGCTAGAGGCCCCAGACTCCACACCACCTGCCCCAACAGGTCCCTAGCACAGGTTGATCAGTGGAGCGGCTTGTTAGCCTTGGATGGCAGGGCAGCTTGGCCAGGCTCTACTAGCCTGTTTACCCCATGATCACAGGGCAGCTTGGCCTGGCCTGTTCGCCCTGTGATCTCAGGGTGGCTTGGACCCAGGCTATTTGCCCCGTGATCACAGGGCCGCTCAGCCTGACCTGTTCTCCCCATGATCGCAGGGCTGCTAGGCCTGGTCTTTTCTCCCCGTGATCGCCCCCTGATCACAGGAAGGCTTGGACCAGGGCAGGTGTTGGGGCTCTTTGACCTGGGCAGGTGTCATTGGGTACCACCTGCCCAGGTCCAAGCCGCCTGATGCTGCATGCTCGGGTCCCCATCTTACCTTGTATCCATTGGTGGCTTCTGGTGCTGCCCCCCACTGCCTGCCCAGGTCCTTGACTGCAGCTTGGATCCCATCTGCTGCATAGGGCCTCTGCCTGCACTGCCTGCATATGCAAATTTATCCACCATCTTTGCTGGGTTAATTTGCATATCACTCCTGACTGGTTGTGAGCATAGCAAAGGTACAGTCAACTAATATTTTTCTCTTTTATTAGTGTAGATATAACATTATACTAGTTCAGAACTACAACATAATGATTAGTTATTTGTATACATTTGCAAAATGATCACTACAATAAATCTAGTTAACATCTATCACCTTGTATAGTTAAAAACTTTTGTTCTTGTAAAGAAAACATTTAAGATTAGCTCTATCAACTTGCAATATACAAAAGAGTATTGTTAATTATGGTCACCATGTTGTACATTGCATCCCATGACATTTTTTTTATAGCTAGAAGCTTATAATTTTAAATTTTTATTTTTTCCCTAGCTGGTTTGTCTCAGTGGATTGAGCATTGGCCTATGGATCTAAGGGTCCTGGTTGGATTCTAGGCAAAGGCACATACCTCAGTTGCAGGCTCCTCCCCAACCCGGGCCCTGGTCAGGGTGCATACAGGAGGCAACCAATGGATGTATTTCTCTCACATTGATATTTCTCTCTGTCTTTCCCTCTCTCATCCACTCTCTCTCAAAATCAATGGAAAAATATCCTCAAATGAGGGTTAAAAATTTTATTCTTCAATTACAATTTATTTTAAATATTATTTTGTTTTAGTTTTAGGTGTACAGCACAAAAGTTAGAGAAGTGCATATTTTACAAAGCGATTCCCCTGATACTTCAAGTATCTACCACGCACCATACATATTTATTACAATATTATTGACTATATATTTATGCTGTACTTTTCATAATCATAATTATTTTGTAACTACTAAATTTGTACTTCTGAGCCTCTTCCCCATTTTCACCCAGTCCCCTAAAGTCCCTCCCCTTTGAAAACCACTACTCTGTTCTCTGTACCTATTAGTTTACTTCTACTTTAAAAAATTTTTTTATTAAATTATTATGGTCTAGTAATAATTAATGTCGTTTTTAAACATTCGTTTAAAAT